CCGCGCGCAGGCGGTCCGAGCCGCGCGCGGGCCTGGCGCAGCCCGTACGGGCCGCGCGCGGGCCTGGCGCAGTCCGTACGGGCCGCGCGCGGGCCTGGCGCAGCCCGTACGGGCCGCGCGCAGGCCTGGCGCAGCCCGTACGGGCCGCGCGCCGGCTGTACGGGCCGCGCGCAGGCCACGACGGGCGACGGGGGGCGACGCGCGGGTCCCCGTCGCCCGTCGCAGCGCCTCCCGGGGGCGACGCGCCGAGTGACGGGGCAGGAACCCGCCGCGCGCCTCGGGGCACACGGCGGGCAGAGAACCGCCGCGCGCCTCGGGGCGCACGGCGGGCAGAAAACCGCCGCGCGCCTCGGGGCGCACGGCGGGCTGAAAACCCTAATTTCGACGCCGCGCACCACGGGGAGCTTGGCGGACAGGGAGTAGCAGTAGCAGCGGAAGCAGTGAAGTGGGCCCACAGGCCACGAACGTTAAGCTCTGATACCATGTCAAGATAAGCGGTAGTCTTAGGAGCCATAGCTAGGAGAGTCCTAGCTAGGCAAGAGAGTTTAGGCGAAAGAAGGGGGTTGCACTAGCAAGAATGGGGATACAAATAGCAAACCCTAGAAGGGTTGTACTCGCTACAGAGCACCCCACTACAGGCTAGAGCATAATATTCTGACAAGGAGGGTGATGTTTTCCCCTAACATGTGTTAAAGTTTGAAGGAGGAATCAAGAAATGACATACAACGGAGAGCTATTTAAGCATTCTGGGACTCAGCCACATGAACATGAGCACCACAACCTCTGACTGCATCCCTTCTTCCCGCCACAGCTTCTCTAGATCTGGTCGCCAGACCCCAGATCTGGGGTTCTTCCCGCCTCTGTCAGAGCATTCGATTGGCTGGCTCCTCCACAATGGCGTAACTCTGAGCAACACCCCTCCCGCAGAGAACGAGTAACTCTGCCACGTGGAACACGGTCGGCGCGCAATGTAAAAGAATGTAAATACACTGGATTTTCAATCTAGTTCTATACACCGGTTGGTGTCGAGATGTGAGATTTAAAAAAACAAGCTTAAAGTGGCTTGGTTCATTTTACGAATCTGTTAAAAATACCATGTCGCGATCGAAAAATCCGGTAAAAAGCTGTCTCCATGTGGTCCCGAAAGTTTATCACGTTTTCGAAATTTTTAATCATTTGTACTTAAAACCGTATTCTTAAAAATAAACGACTACTACCCTATAACCTGGCGTATAAAAAACAGTCGTTTCTCATTATGACACCAAAACAGCTGTTGTTCGTGTTGATGGGTGGACGCAAACTGCAACTGTGTTCGATATATGCAGTGTAGAAAACGTTTGTCGTTATTGAAAAAAAAATCTGCTCGTCTGTCTCTTAGCGAATGGCCAAGGTATATATTGCGTTTCATAATACTGAATTAGGCGGAGGAACGTGCAAATAACGAGCTTGCACCCATGCGGAAGTAGACGTAATCCAGTAAAACGTGTGCAGTTTACCAAATTCCACTGTAAACAAATGTCTAACACGAAGCTCAATATCGAGTTTCTCGATATTGCAGTTTTCACATACTGGTTGCGACGTGCTCGCAGAGATCACGTCGCAACCGTTTGCGCGAAAAGTGCACGTCCATTGACGGCTGCACTTTGACGTTGGCGAGAGCACGGGATTCGCCAGCTACATTACACGCACGAATGTGCTCGGGCAGAGCACAGTTTCACGGGCAGGCCGAGCCTAGCCCTTGGGGCGGTGGCGGCTGTCCTACTCGGCGCAAGCTTGCGCCGCTTCCGCTTGGGTCGATTCCCAGCTCGACCCAAGCAGCTGGACCCACGTTTTTTCCCAGGCAAATCCGCTCGACCAGCGCCAAGAGCAATATAATTGCGTATTCCTGACTTTGTGTCAAGAACCAGTTGGTGTCAACCCATAACTATGGAGCGCACCTGATTGGCCAGTTGTATTTTTTAAACCAATCGCATGCGTTCCAAGATTCTAGGTTGACACAAACACAGCTTGACACGAGGCCTAGGAATACGCCCTAACTTCCCCCAAATGTTGTTTGTCGATCTGGAAGGGTTGAAATTGCTCAAGCCAGCGGGGAATCCGTTTCAACGATTGGTCAATCGGATGGGTGAGGCGAGGGGATTGGGTTAAGGGGCCCCACAGTTCTGTACCGACTCATAGTCAAGAAACATTTGTTTCTTGACGTATTGTACAGTAAGTACCGAAACAGTTGTTCCTGACTAAGTTCGTGTCCGTAGGGTTTGCATGTCAAGTGAGGGCGTGTCAACCCAAAGCGCATTCTAGAGTGTCAAACACTGTAGCTGAAGTGTCAAGTCGAAGCGCATGTACGAACATCAGCGACGCAATCTCATTGATTTGAGAATTTGTCATGGGTGGATCTGCCAGGTAGCGAACAATTCAAAAGACAGATTGTGTGCTGATTGGGCAGCATCTGGTCGTGAGATAGGCACCTGCGACCATCTTCTCTCGTTTGTAGGTTTGACTGTGCCAATTTAGAAAGTGTCCGACGATTTGTATTGGATGGCAACCTGCAATTTCTTGACACCCTGCCAACAATGTTGGCTGAGTGTCAAAATGCCAAATTGACACTGCCCACTTTGACATGTCATCCCTACGGACACGACCTAACAGTGTATTCGTTCAAGGTGGCGTGTCCTGCTGCCCACTAATACTGTATCGCCTTCAATATACTGTAGCACCTTCTGACAGCGTGGGCCCAATTGGCTGTGTTCGGATTGAATCGGTTCGGGCTGGTTTGGTTCGGATAGATGTGATCGATTTTCTCGCGCCGCCCGATCAAAGCACAAACCATCACCTGGTAGTTTCCTCCAAACTTTGGTGAGACTAGCGACCACAATGAAACAGGGTAACGATATGGTTATAGCATACAGTTCTCGCCAGCCAGTTGGTATGAGCGAGGGCTGTCCGAGAACTCAAGGCGACTGTAACATTTCGCCTACGTCGCCCCGGCCCCCGAATGCCTGAACTAGCTTACTACCTTTCTGGAAGTTATCCGTGCCTGATCAAGCCGATCAATGTCGATTGGGCCCACGTCCTGATCTGTTCACGAGCATGCGTCAAGTGTGATCCAAGCAGGGCCCCGTTTGTTCAGGGTATTTTACCCTGCCTACCCGGCCAATCAGGATGAATTATTGGTGCTGCTTTGCCGAAACAGGGTGCCCTAGCAGGTCATCCTGCCTCAATCCGACAACCTTCATTTAACACGGCTGAAGCTCGCTTGCATTGCGCTCGTCATGAGAAGAGTTTCTTAGCGAAGCACTTGGCCAGTGTCCCGAGTCCTCCCCGCATTGTCTAAGTACAGAAACTCGCAGTCACAGCTTTAGGGCGATACATGGTTTCTGCTGGGCCGTTTTCCACAACACCATCTAAGTTGGGGAAATATGTTGAAGAATATGGACCCCAGCGGCAGGTGTAGAGTGAGCCAAATACAATCACAACTATTCTCACTAGGGCTAGCTGAGCTAGTTCTATTCTGCCCCGTCGGAGAATTTCTCATGCTTGCGTGCGTTCCATCAGTGTCAGATCAGAGTTTGAGTCAAAGTAGCGCCTAAAGTACCCTGCCAAAGTCAGGCTGAGGAAAAAACTACCTTGCTACCAACCTGATTTGGCCACGCCACACCCAGCCCTGGCCGAGTGGCGCGCGGCGGAAACCCAGATGTGGAAGGGTGCCTGAAAACGAAAAGAGAGGCCTGGTCGCAAAATGGTCATGAATGGCAAGCCGACGAGGGGTTTTGGCTAGGTTCCGGGGGTGCTGTAATTACAGATGTTCCGGGTTATAGTCCGACGGGTTGAGACGCCGCGCGCGGACTGTATGCAGAAACCTTCAAACCCCAGGCAAAACGCGATATTTATAGTCCCGTTCAGGAAAAATGCATAAAAAGTGGTTTGTTTTCTACTAGTTTTTGCTTTTTTGGGTTGCGTAGCAACCCTTTATATTTGGTTTCACATTTTGGGGATATCGTTTCAAAGAGTGATTTTTCTTCATGCACTCTTTGGAGCACCCGTTTGAACATTCTGCAACTGTGTTCAAACGAATGCCTCAAATAGTGAATTAAAACCACCCTTGAATGAGATCCATGAATGTGAAACCAAATATTATGCACGTACGTATCATGTTGAAACCATGAACTTGCTCGACCGACCAGCTCGTCGATTAGTACGGCGGCTGGTACGACCGAGCATAATATTCTGGCTTCAACATGAACAAATGCAATTGTACAGATGAACAACAAAGTTTGAAATGTGGGTGGAGTGGATGCTTCAAAATAAATGTTAAAATGCATCATGTAACAACAGAGGTTGATGGGGTCGTTGAAACAGCGAAAACACGCTGCCCCCATAGACGATTAACAACCTCTAATTGCATACATGACACATACTAACACCACACTTTGAAACACACATCCCACAAACAAGAATGCAAACGCACGTAAAAACAAAAAAAAAGGTACAACCCGTCTAACCAAACGCTTAGAAATGCAACCCCACAGTGAAACAAACACGAGAAAACAAGAACACACTCTCGTAGAAACACACCCGCACAGCACACACATACACACACAAAAAGGATTGAGAGCAGACAAGCATAACAAAGAGTTGCAATAAGCTAATTATGTATCAATCACTACTACATTGTCCCCAGTTCCTCCCCCTTTCCGCCTGCCTTCCTCTCCCTCCGCCATCAAAACCTCCTTCCACCCTTTTCCACATTGTCTTCTCTCTCGGATTCCCCTCCCTGCTCCCCACAACGCGTCTCGCACACCTTGCAAAACAAACAGGTCAAGTAGAAAACGAATTGTAGTAAAAAAACGGAGTGAATTTCAGTGACGAGCATGCACTTGATTGTGAAATAGAACTTGAAAAGCAAGTATGGGTTGAAATATGATAAGTACAAAAGGAAACCGAATTTGACGACTCACAAGCGTGGTTTGAGGCATAGATCCCCTTGGGTCAAGCACACCATGCTGGTGGCTCCAGCGAGAAAGGTGCATTGGTGCAACGAGATGGGCATCGCCATGCTACAAGGCGCTAGAGAGTTGCAGCAAGGCACCGGCAGAGGAGCAAGCGGGCTGCCGTAGCAACGCGTGAGCTCACTGAAGCAAGGCGTGAGCTCACTGCAGCAACGCGTGAGCTCATTGCAGCAAGGCGTGAGCTCACTGCAGCAAGGCGTGAGCTCACTGCAGCAACGCGTGAGCTCACTGCAGCAAGGCGTGAGCTCACTGCAGCAACGCGTGAGCTCACTGCAGCAAGGCGTGAGCTCACTGCAGCAACGCGTGAGCTCACTGCAGCAACGCGTGAGCTCACTGCAGCAAGGCGTGAGCTCACTGCAGCAACGCGTGAGCTCACTGCAGCAAGGCGTGAGCTCACTGCAGCAAGGCGTGAGCTCACTGCAGCAACGCGTGAGCTCACTGCAGCAACGCGTGAGCTCACTGCAGCAACGCGTGAGCTCACTGCAGCAACGCGTGAGCTCACTGCAGCAAGGCGTGAGCTCACTGCAGCAACGCGTGAGCTCACTGCAGCAACGCGTGAGCTCACTGCAGCAACGCGTGAGCTCACTGCAGCAACGCGTGAGCTCACTGCAGCAAGGCGTGAGCTCACTGCAGCAAGGCGTGAGCTCACTGCAGCAACGCGTGAGCTCACTGCAGCAAGGCGTGAGCTCACTGCAGCAAGGCGTGAGCTCACTGCAGCAAGGCGTGAGCTCACTGCAGCAAGGCGTGAGCTCACTGCAGCAACGCGTGAGCTCACTGCAGCAAGGCGTGAGCTCACTGCAGCAACGCGTGAGCTCACTGCAGCAACGCGTGAGCTCACTGCAGCAAGGCGTGAGCTCACTGCAGCAACGCGTGAGCTCACTGCAGCAACGCGTGAGCTCACTGCAGCAAGGCGTGAGCTCACTGCAGCAAGGCGTGAGCTCACTGCAGCAAGGCGTGAGCTCACTGCAGCAACGCGTGAGCTCACTGCAGCAACGCGTGAGCTCACTGCAGCAAGGCGTGAGCTCACTGCAGCAACGCGTGAGCTCACTGCAGCAACGCGTGAGCTCACTGCAGCAACGCGTGAGCTCACTGCAGCAAGGCGTGAGCTCACTGCAGCAAGGCGTGAGCTCACTGCAGCAACGCGTGAGCTCACTGCAGCAAGGCGTGAGCTCACTGCAGCAAGGCGTGAGCTCACTGCAGCAAGGCGTGAGCTCACTGCAGCAACGCGTGAGCTCACTGCAGCAACGCGTGAGCTCACTGCAGCAACGCGTGAGCGTGCGCAACGATTTGACAGCGCACTGCCGCAACAAGGCTGCCGCAGGAATTTGCCAGCGCCGCAAAAAAGGCAGCAACGCACAAGCCGCCAGCACGCAACAACGTGCCAGCGAGCTGCGAGGGCACCTGCAAGGCGCCAAACATAAGGCGCCAGCGCGTTTGGCGCCAACGCAGCAAACGCCAGCGCGCTAGGCGCTAGCGCCATCCCAAAAATGGGTGGGGGTGTGTAGTATGTTTGAGAAAGTTAACTTTCATGTCGCGTGGATGTGAGTAGGTTTGTAGTATTTGCAGTAACTTTGGCGTAGGTTTCCTGAAGTTTGGGAACCAGGCTTGGATGACTGAGAAGTCACTTCGCGGTGAGTTTTTTACTGCGCCAATCCGAACCTCCCAAGCCCAGTTGCTCTGTTTCGAAAAGGCACGCCTCGGTTTAGTTAGAAAATAGTACACTTGTTTAGGGTTTAGTTTTCAGGTTGTTATGCGATAATTGTTTCTGACAAACTAAGTGTCTACATCTACGGTTATTTTTAATATTGATAAACTGTCATGTACTTTCCAAGTTCTATTAATTTAGCATGCGACATTAAAAAGCGAAATATCGTTGCGCACTCATAACCGTAGCAAAGTTATGCGCTCCGGTGGCGCGGCGTTTTTTTTTTTTCCGTTCTTTCTTTCTTTCTTTCTTTCTTTCTTCCCGCCGCGCGCTCGGGGCGCACCGCGGTTTTCTCCCCCGTCGACACGCGCGTCGCCCCCCGTCGGCGGTCGCGTCGCCTCTACATATTGCGTGCTGTTGACGCGGGAACATCGTCCTAGCTTCTCAACCGACCTCGAATGGCGACAATATCACCCCGCATACCTTTTCCCTCGACACAAATGGCTCAAGCCCCAAGTCTCCCCGTCCTAGCGAAGAAGCAAACTCTCTTTGCGGAATCAAGGTTCCTGACTAGTATATCAAAAACAACCATACTTGTGTGCTATAACAACAGAAACTTAGGTACATGGAGCTTCGAGCTGGAGCTACTGCTGTAGTTTGGACATATATTCCACTATTTCGACGGGGGTTTCGCGGGACTTGCAGTCGCCAGGGCAAGATACTACAACGAGCCCCTACTGGCGTACGTGGTCTTACTGGGCACCATGTCTTCAAGGGAGCAGCTGAGCATTCGCTCTACCAAGGCAACGTCCGCACTAGCCTTCGAAGCCGGGCGGCATATGAACAGCGTATACCAACCGAACGACTCGGTTTAATCATGCCGCCTGCTCCAGCAGCGACTGGCCACAACAATGGTTGTTGGAGCTCACTCAATCGATTCGCATCACTAGGGTTCACCATTTTGGAAGAAATCTGCGTGATTGTCCTGCTCGTATGGCTTGGCCTGGATTGGCGGACCTGCGAGACGCTTCTCCGGCAGCCGGAGGTTATCTCGGAAGCCGCGATGTGCGCAACCTTTATCATCGAACAGAGAGACATGGCCCCAGCTGCGACAAGCGCTGCGACCAGACCGGGAAAGCCTCGCCTTCCACGCTGATAAAATAGAGGATGTGACTGCCGATGCGTCTTTACTGCAAAGTTCGCAGAAAGTTTGGGCAATTGGCGGAACATTTTAATAACGATTTTTGCGGTCGCCGGGCCAATCCAAGCACTTAGACCGACTAACAAGACGCCCGGAATGACACGCCGTAAAGCCTAGAATCATACTGCCATCGCGCAACCTGATCCCAGCGGACACGCCCCAGCAGCAGCAGACGTCTGCACCACCTGCTCCAGTTCGCAACATCATCCGGAACATGGGCACAACAAGTGATTCCTGTCGTCGAGTCGTATGCTCGTTGCACCAGAGGCAGCACACTATCCAACCGAGTCATTCACAGACATTAGTCTGCTCAGCACCCGCCACGACTTCAACAACGATGACGCCCAGTACTGGAACCTTCTTGTCCCACTGCTGAAAAGCAATACGCACGTACCTGATATGTGGGCGGCACCGATCGATTGGATGTTGCGCGAGCAACATATGAAGTTCAGACACACCGCACATTGTCACCCCACGCCTGGCATTTCCTGCACGTAGCGATCGCATGCGCAAACATCACCTGGTATCTGGATAGCTGATGCGGAGAGCACATGGTTGGGTCCGAGCTTTTGGTCCACGACACTATCACAATCCCAACTGACACTTTCGTCACAGTCGCCAGCAAAAACCGCCAGCGCGCAGGTGCGCATGCCATCATCGTGCTCAAGGCATGAGGGTAAACGCATTGACGTCCCACTTAGGGATGAGCCGATCGTCCGGAACCTGCTCTGTGGCAGGCTTTCCGCCACAGAAACACATCGATTGCGGCGTCTAGCTCAGCATGGTTTAGGGTTATGCGCGTCATCTTGCTGCACTACCCATCGCTGACCAAATCACGCAGGCAGATCGGACAGGATCGTCGAGATATGAAACGAGGATGGCATTATGTCGCATGTAGTACATGAAAGTGTGTGTCGTGTGTCTACCCGCTAAGGCTAGGCCCACTACAGACTCGATGAATAGTAAACTAATAATTTGATATGGCACACCCAAGATACGAAGTGTACAATCTGGCTGTTATGGTTTAACACTGCAGCGGAACGACTGAACGATCTCGTTCCACTGCGTCTCGAGCATATACACCACAGGGAATATGAAACATCCTTACGGGAGGCCGTGGATACCCTATCTCCCTCACCCACGTGGACTGGTGCTGCACGACCCTGACCCTGATGGCCACTGCATGGATTGCCACACGCACACCGCTCCAGCCAGCGCGATTGCCGGCCATGGTCACCGCTTCAACGGCGCGTCACACCGTTTACGGACCTGCTCTCGACCCGCGCCACCCAATTCTTGTCCCTGGAACCTGCGGAGAGTCACTACACAACGGGAGTGGACTACGGAGGAGGGAACGGTGTTGTGTGAGTGATCGCAGTGCTCTGCTAACGTTCTTACTGCTTGCTGTGTTCACTGTGAAGTTTGGCAAGAATTCCACTAAGGAAAGAACAACTTGCATTAACAAAGTTGATAGGAAAGGAAAGATTAGAGTACAACTGAGGCATGCAGAACAAAAGGCCTAGAATGGCATGGAACTCCTAGCACAGGCGAACTCTGCCAGCGCAGCAGAAGAGCGGCTTGCCAACGCTGCAGCAGAGTAATATGCCAGCGTTGCCCTGCGCGCGGTATGCCAGCACTACACTCGCAGGTGACTATCTGCAATCGCAGGTAACTTTCTACGGTCGCAGGTTGTCTATCTGCGCAGATGTGCGCACCTACCAAGTAGGTGCAGGTTGGCGGTTTCACCGTCAGGCACATTGCGCAGGTGCCAGGTAGAAAACGTGTCGTCGGTTTCGCCAGGTGCGCGCCGTCGACCACGTGATGCCGTTCCGCAGGTAGAACTTCGCCAAAATCTCCTGGGCGAATGTTCGCACGCCTTCGCAGAGTTTCGCGCAACTCTGCAGCTTTCGGTCGATCAGCTCGACTCTGCACAGTCGAACAGCGTTTTCTGTGCAGAGCTTCTCGACCAGTACTCTTCGAATAGAGTCCTTCGACCAGCACACTTCGACGGAAGCTCGCCGCGCAGAGATCGTCGACCAGAGCTCATCGCAGAGAGCTCGTCGACCCGAGCCTGTCGCGCAGAGCTCGTCGCCCAGAGTCCGTCGAGCAGAACCTGCTCGACCGCAATTTCTGCCAAACTGCAGAAGCCCATTTCTTCGACTACTCCGTAGCGAACTTTCCGTCTACAGCGAGATCAACTACGCTCAAGCGAGGGCGGGGCCATTTCCTTCGACAGAACCACCACTTCCACTAACCTTACCACTGAGTGGTTCTTGACAGAGAATTCATGGTGCTGATGCTAATGACAGCGTTTGTCGAATAAGAAGAACCGAGGCAGTATCAGCGGAACCCAACCCAACTTAAAAGGAAGACACTCAGACAATGGGCGCGCGCTACATGCGCACCAACGGATTCCGGTCGAGTGACTACCTGTGGCACCTCTGGCTCGGACACCCCTCGCGCGCAACGCTGCAAACATGCGCCTGACGCAGGAGTATTCGCTCCTTTCGCTCACCCACCCCTAGGCGCAACGAAATTAGAGGCAGGTCTCTGCCGCCCAACTGCACCGTCTACCCCGAAGCTTCGTCCAGAGCCGTTCCCGCTGCTCGAACCAGGATCATACGGCAACCCCGAGATCTATAAAGTGTACAGCGATTTGGTCGACGTTGGGCATTGCGGAATCAACAAGGAGCACCTGGATCGTCGTGGTAGACGCCATCGTGCAGCTGCAGGGACGAGGGACTTAGCCTGTACAGTTTCGTACACGTTCGAGCCGCAAGGCTGGGTTTGATTTCGGATTAGGGAAGATAACCTTCCCCATTGCATGGCTAGCTAGGTCGTTTGGCTACCTTAGTTCTAATACTTGTGTGCTTGCATGTGCATGTTTTGCTCATCCCCGCCAATCTACATTCACTCTGCTTCTAAGTCAAGGGCCAACGAACAACTGGTGCGACCCTATATTTAAGTGCACATTGTTACGTCCTATTTCTGACCGCAGCCGTGCATTACTAGTGTTTCAAACTAATAAAACAGCAACAGGAATACAAGTTCTAGCCAGTACTTGTTCATTTAAAAATCCTGAACACCAAACCTATTAATGAAAGACAAGCTACGGCGGTCAAAAGATCTAACTACATGCAGAGTGCGCAAGATGGAATGCGCCTCAACAATCTGATACCGTACGTCACGTTGCGGCTCGTGCAGCATTGTGCACGACGTGACCGCGTCCACATCGCCAACTTCGTAGTAACGCACCATTGCATAGGCCTTCTTCACTGCCCGCCCGTCCTCGAGGGAGTCCACATGGAACAAGAGCAGCAGTTGTGCGAACCACGTTGTAATCACCTCAGCCCCAAGCGGCGCACTTTCGTTCCCTAAAATCGCCACGTATGAGAAACATGGTGCGTTATGGAAAGTCAATGCTGCCCGTGCGTAATGCGCCTCGTAGTTATCCCCTGGTGGTAGTGCGATCGATGAATGTACCTGCAAGGATTAGGCAACCCATCGTTTGTTAAAAAATCACTCCCTTGTAGGATGAGTTACTAGAGATGTTGAAATTCAACAAGTTAGGTAAA